TCTTCTTAGCCCCAGACCCTGCAACTGGTTCTGCAAGGGGCAGTTCCTTTCACATATGTGGAACCCCCCTGACATCACAGAGCCCCATCAGGGAACAAGGTCCCTATGGATCTGATTGCAGGATTGTGGCATTAAATTGTAAGTTCTTCAGGGCAGAAACCAAAGTGAAATCCTGGCCTCACTGAAGTCAATGGCAAAACTCCCACTTCCTGCAGTGGAGTCAAGTTCTCTCCCCAAGTCTTCATATGTGTTTGTACAGTGCCTAGCACAACAGAACCATGCTCCTGATTGGGCCTCTAAGTGTTAATGCAAGAGAAGTAATAAATAATAATGGTAATTAGAACTCTTGGTCTTTAAAGTAGGGCTTGCTCCCCTGCAAACTATTTTTGCTTTCTATTGCATCCTGCTGAGAAGTCCCAGAGTAAACTAGTTACAAACCTGTACATTTTTATGTAACCAGACTGTGTCCTAAACACAGGTTTTGGACTTTACTCATGAATTATGCAAAAGGAGAAGATAGACAGCGAGGACAAATTTCTCCTCTCTTTATTGACACAGCTCAACTCGGTGCTCAGCTTCAACATTTTGCTTTCCCTGCGTGTCGTACAGAAATGGGCCGGAGCTGAAAACTTCAGCTCTGGAATCAAAGCTGTGGGATGTCTGGATCCAGGTCCCATCTCACGTGCTTATGTCAGTGGAAGCTCTGCACATTTTGGGGAACCAAAAAACCAAAGGTATGCACTACTGTGATGAGCTGAGAGGAAGATTTTGCCCTAAGAAAGAAAAGTCCTTTTCAAAACCTCAAATTCTAATAAAGGTAAAAGGAAACATCAGTGATTTGTTCTAACACAGTGCTCTCACCCCCAAAAAAATTATCTCGGCGAGAGGCGGAAGCAGAGTCGACGGGGGAGCAGCGGCAGTCGACCTCGCGCCGTGAGGACACGAGATACGTTGACTTCAGCTACACTATTCTCGTAGCTGAAGTTGTGTATCTTATGTTGATCCCCACCCACCCCCAGTGTAGACCAGGCCTTAGTCTACGTGAAACCTCATTTACCAGGGATTAGCATGCTTACAATGGGGAAGGATAACGAACCGGGGAATCTATTCATTTGCTCATTTACTTCAAGTTTCTTATAACCATAAGCAAGGGGGAAGGCATCAACACATGGCAAAAAAAAAAAAAGCACAGGTACACGGGGCCTGGCCCAAAGCACAAACAGGTCAGTTGAACCTGTTTGAGGGTTGACTTCATTGACTTCAGTGGGCTTTGGATCAGGCCCTTCATGGGCTTTTTGTTTTGTTTTGTTCCTGAAAAATGTACTGACTGAGTATAGCAGAATGACTAGCTTAGGCAATATCAGTTGTGGCTGGATGAACAATTTGTGAAGAGGCCCAGAGTTACCATCCTCTGGGAAATCCTTTTCAAACTACCTGATGGAGCAATTTGGTGCTGTCCAAAAGGCAAAATAATTGGCTCTTCAAAAGTACTCTACAAGCTCCAGGATGAAAAGTCACCCCTGGCAAAGCTGATTTAGAAGAACTCAGAGCGGGGGAGGGGGGGGAGATAATGATACCAGAAATAAATGAGGTCACCCCAAATCTTCCCATACTTTTCAACTGGGGGGTATAATTTTAACCAAGGGTTTCTGAAGTCCACTCCAGCATATGGATCATGGAAACACAGTGGCCAATACATTTCTTTGTACTGTATATGCATTTTCACTCTTTTCATGAGATGTCTCTTGAGTCTAATCTATTTTGTAACCAAAACTGGGGGGAGGGAAAGGTTCTTGAGCTTCCTAAACAGAAAGTTTCCAGTTCATGCTAAAATCAACCATATGACTGTTTTTAACACCAAGGTCTATCTACCACACTCAATCTGTGCACAAAACTCCCACTGTCAAAAGGCAGAGTCAGCATGAATGTCAACTTTATAAAATTACTGTAATTCTGTATATAAATGTTCAGTTGTTCAATCAAAATATATGGCCGTAAAGAAGTCTGATGGGATTTAATATGTGATGAGAAATCACAAACAAAACTAGCATTATTTAACCTAGAAAGAAATTAGAGGGGACTAGATTGAGATATTCAAAATATTGAAGATTATAATAAAAAAATAAGCCCTTTTTGTTTACTCTGTTCCGTGACAGTGAAGGGTGACTTGAAATCTGTGAGTACAGATATAATAAACAAAAATCAATATTACTTCACAGGGTGTATAGTCCTGCTTGCCTTATACTGACTACAGATAAGACTATGAGAGCAGGATTTGGCCCACTCAAGAGCCATTCATTATGGCCCATGCAATATAGAACTAACTGCTAATGAAAGATGTCATGGAATCCAATAGTGCTGCTGATTTCCAAAAAGCATGAATAATGTTATGACCATGACAACGTGAGTCATTAAGTGAAATAAAAATAATCTAATCTCATGCTTCAGGGTATAAAACTGATTACCTGCATGAGCTAGGAAGACATTCCCAACCCATCCATCAATGTACAATTGGCTTGGTGCATTATGGAAAGTTGTTGTATTCCTCCAGCATCAGATATCAGCCACTAGAGGAGGCAGATTAGAGGAATCAGTGGTTTGATCCCATATGGCAAATCCCATGTTCCCATTTTTGGTCAAATTTAAATTAGATGGAAAATAAAGTATTTTTAAAAGTACAATTTAAAAAACCTACTGAGCTTTTCTATTTTTTTGGTACCTTAAGCCTTACTAAACTTTCATTAGGATAGCCAAGTGACCTAATAAGAACAAGAGATTAAGGGTTCTGTTGCCAGCCCTGCCACTGATTTCCTGTGTAACCTTGGGCACAACAATTGAACTGCCCATGCCTCAGTTTGCTCATCTTTAAAATGGGATGCTAATGCTTATTTGTACCGCCTTGATCTGCTTGTGAAGTGTAATTATAATTCATTCAATGCTTTGAGATCCTCAGAGGAAAGGTGCTATATACAACCGTATTATTTAATCTTTCATTTAAAATTCTGGCGAGTACACTGTTGCAAGAGACCCCTACTTCCCGTGATCGTACCGCTATAGAACTTGACACGGAATCAGCAGCCAAGCAGAGCATTTGATATCGGCAATACAAGAGGAAGAAAAAGATAAAAATATTTGCTGGTTTATTATGAAGCTGACATTTTACAACCAAGAACAACATTCTTTGACCAACAATTTCTAGGTCCCAGTTCTGCTCCCATTGAAGGCAATGGCAAAATTCCCATTGACTTCAATGGGCGTAGAATCAGCCTCCAAATTCTTCATCCGACATCAGTGTCAAACCCAACAAACTGTACCACTTAAGGCAGAAATATGAAATGAACTTAGCACAGCGCAACTGAAGGCATGGAAAGAACTACTGCTCAGCTGGACTTCAGATAACATTAGAATATGTGTTAATGATACATTCTGCAATTTTTTAAATCACTTTCCTCTCCTCTGTCCCTCTTTCTGATTCATGTTACTAGATTAACGCGGACATTGGCAGCACATAAATGGTCAGTGTTAGCCATCACATTGCTGATCTAAACTTTTGTATGGTATCAATAGGCCAAATTCTGAGGTCCTTTTTCCATTTTTATTCATACAAGCTCCCACTCACTTCAATAGAAATTTGCCTCAGTAAAGACTAAGCAGGAGGTCAGAGTTTAGCCCAAAGTATCATCTGTGTTTTGTTGGTGGGATGATCTGTACCCATTTCATTATTTTAATGTGTGATATTCCTGAACGTGTTTCCTAATGCGCTGCAAGGGTAAAATAGAGTCCAGAGGCAATGAATAATTTTATGGCCATGGAATTTTGAAAACCAACAATCCTGTCATTATATATATATATATATATTTAACAGAGGAGTCTGCGGGTGTGGAACTGCAGACAATACTCGGCATGTTTGCACAGCTACGGGATTACCACCACCCAAGTCACTGTAAATCCTAACAGCACCTTTGCAACAAAAATTAGTGTTAAAGTGTTACAAAACTCTATGAGCTTTAGACCACAGAACAACAAAAGAAAGATAAAAAGTGAGCCTTTAGGTAGACCCATTTTTAAAGACATAGAATGAATTAAGTATATAGTTAATATATAGTTTCAAAATATGTTTTTGATTATTTATTCACAGAACCAGTTCACAAAAACTCAAAGTATTTAAATGCAATTAATAATAAATAATAATAATAATAATAAAGTTGGCATGCACTAAAGAAGCTATATGGAGGGGGGGAAGGTACCAGATGAAGAACAGCAAATGCTGGATAGATCAGATATCTACAACTACAGGTAAATTATGTTCTCTACAGAAATTATTTTTATGGGAAATTAACAGCATAGTTTGCTGTTAGTGGAAATGCACACTCACAAACACACACTTTTTCAGTTTAATTAAATAAAGACAGAAAGTGGTGGCTGAACAATTTTACAATAAAAGTATCTTCTCTAATTTGTCAACTGTGTCTATTATCGCGGTCAGTGTGGGACACTCTTTTAGCTAGAGAGCTAAAGTTACCAATGCTAGATGACGAAACCTCCCGAAGAACTTCAGGCATCACGTGGAATTAACCAAATTCCTTAAATTAACAGGAAAGAAAGCTGCTAAACAAATCAGGGCTTTATTCCTCTCTGATCTTCACCTGCTGAAGATACAAATAATCGGCGGGGGGGGGCTTCTTCGCTATTGCACTGATGAGGGTCAGAGGGTTTTTTTGAAAAGCAAATGTATTCGGGCTTCTTTCCCCAGCCACATATTGTGCCAAGCAGACCAGCAGCATCGCTGGACGGCGATTAAGAGCATGCCCGTGGCTAGCGGGCTGCATCCAGTCTAAAGACACCCAGCACACCATAAAGTTGCGATGATAACCTAGCCCAGCAGCAACTAACTTTCCCCCGCTCTGGTCCTGATCTACAAGGCAGGGTCCCCCCGAAAGGGCCGGGCGGGGTGTCCCTGGCCGGGCCGGGCAGGGGGTGAGGTGCCGGGGAGCTCTTACCGCTGGAGCGCCGGACGATGTTCTCCAGGAAGGTGTTCTGCGGTGCCACCAGCCCTCTCTTGCCGCCCGGCATCCTGCGCCTGCAGAGCCGGGCTCTGGAGCGGCAGGGGCGCGGCGGTGGCGGCTGGGGGCAGCCGGGGAGGTGTCTCGCGCCCAGTGCCGGTGAGTAGCTCCGGCGAGGATGGAGCAGTTCATGGTAGTAGCGCTCGGGCGGCGGGGGGAGCCCAGACTGTGGCGGTGCCGCACGCCGGGCTCGGGAACCGCAGGCTCCGGGCAGATTGCGCCTGCGCGCCTGCCGGGCCGCCGCTGCTGCTGCTGCCGCCGCCGGCGGCCAGCATGGTCCCGCGAGCTCGCCCCCTGCGAGCCTGAGCCCGCCTGGCGGGAACAGCGCGCGCTCAGCTCCCCGGGAGCTCCCCGCTGCGCTGGAGCAAGCCGGGAGCCGGGTCAGGCGCTGGCCGCCCCAGCCAGGGAGCGCTGGCCCCAAAGGGCTGCTGCAGCTGCCCCCGGCCCGCACCCTGGACAGCGCGGGGCGGCCGCTTCTGGGTTAGCGAGCGGGGCTCGGAGCCCCCCGCAGCCTGCCTAGCTCCGCCGGACCGTGGCTCCCCGAGCAGCTGGGGCTGCCCCGTGCGCGCAGAGGAGCGGGGGATGCAGCCGGCAGGACGCGGCGCCGCTCAAAGCCCCCGAGCGCCGGCGGTGCAGGTTGCGGGGGGGCGGGAAGGTGCATGAGGCATAAAGCCCGGGGGTTGCGGGAGGCAGGGCGCTCTGCCGAGGATGCTGCCTGGCTGGGGGCGGCGGGATGGTTTCCTGGCAGGGACGGACTGGAGGCAGCGCTGACCTGCCCACTGCCTAAAAGTTACCGGGAGATGCTCCGTCCTGCGAGGGGGCGGGGGAGCGCGGCTGAATAATTCAGGAGATTTGGGCGTTTGATGCAGATGCAGATGGGGGGAGGGAGGAGTCAGCCACTGAGCCGGAGCCGGGGCAGGCGGGGAGATGGGGCTTTAACCCCTTGCAGTCCCCGCCCGCAACAGCAAACTCGGAGGGAGACAAGAGCATCTTCCCTCGGCCACCTCTGCCGCGGGATAAAAGCGGAGGGACTCGCCCAGCCCGTGGTTGCTGGGCTGGGGCAGGGGCAGCCTCCCTCGCTGAGACGGGGCTGCGCGTGGCGTGGGCTCGCGGAGGGAGATGCGGAGCAGGACTGTGCCCGTGGCTGGGCGAATCCCTCTACAGCTGGGGCTGAGAGGGGTCCGGGGGGAGAGAGACACACACACGGGATCTCGCCCCCCTCCCGGCGGGAAAAGACCCTCGGCTTCCGACCCTGTGGCAGGCACTTGGGGTGGGGGTCAGAGGAATGCTACAGATTGGTTTACCTGCGCCCTGGGATGGGATATTCCCGGGCGACAGGGGTGGGTAAGAGCCCATCTCTCCCCCAGCCTCTTCTAGCTGAAGGTGCCCACAAACTCTCCTGGCCTAAAGGGTTATAATCCCGCCCCTCCCGTCCAGGGCGAGGTTTAAACGCCCCTAGGCTGAGCAGAAACCAGGCTCCAAGGAAGAGGGGAAATGCTGCCACCTCGCCGTTGCCCCCAGCCAAGAACAAGTGTAGATCTCTTCCCAGCCTTGATGGGCAGTGTCTATTTTCTCCAGTGCACAGACAGGCACACACCCCGGCAGCCATCCAGGCCAACTCAGCGTGTCCCAGAGCGAGAGAGACAGTCTTGCTCCAAAACCATTATGGGCAGAAATACTGGCTGCTGTCTGATGACTAAACCTGGCTGGCAGCTACTCCCTGCCATCAGCCTGCTAGCACCTAGTATATGATGGGCTTCACTGATGTGCACGGTCCTGGGGCAGGGCAGGAGCTGGCTGCAGGCTGAGGGAAAGAAAGCAGTGTTGCCAAGCCTCCAGAATTGTCCTGGAGTCTCTACAAATTAAACATTAATCTTTAATTAGAGATTACATCATGTGATGAAACCTCCAGGAATCCATCCAAACAAAACTTGCAACCCACAAGGAAAGGAAAGCTGAGGATGAAGGACAGGACAGGACACACCCCCTTCTCCAGCCTTTCCCAGCTCATCAGCCAGGCCCTTCCTAGCAAGCTTGGAGGTTGCTGCCCCTGCACCCAGATTTTCCCATCTACCCTGTTGCCTCTTGTTAGTGAATTGTGGAATGTGGCAAACTGCCCGATTTACATCGGTGAGGCTCTTCCTTAGTATCTGGTTTGGGCAGCACCCATACCTTTCCCTCCTACTCCTGTGTGCGGTGCTCTTTAAATGGCAGTTGTATAAGCCCCGACAGACCTGCTTTTAAAGGGAGACTGTCATCGATTTTATACCGCAAATCCGATCAGCCTGAACTAGGTTTATAACTGATAGGGGAAGTCCTCCACATGAGGCCATGGGCCTGGCACCCTGGTGCAGCCACAATGCATGGAGCAGGAGTGAAGATGCTGCACACAAAAGGGTAGAATAAAACATCAGCCTTACACTGGGGTGATTCCCATCACCCATCCCATTGCAATTAAAACTGGCTTTATGGTCAGGTTATGTCAGCAATATGGCACAGCGCAGTTGCACCACTCCAGAGAACTTGGCCTTAAATGTCTTCTGCATTTGGGTTTTTTCAATGTACTATTGTATCACTGGGAAACAGCCCCCAGCCTATCACTACTTTTTGTATAAGTCACTAAAAAACAGAGCTTCAGGTCAAGTAATAAACCTAATAACCACAACTATAAGACTTGTGCTAACATTAATCTATGATGATTTACAGTTACATGAGAACCCAGCAGCTCCCCATCAGGACTTGGGCCTTGGTAGGCTAGGACCTGTATAAACAATGCTAGATATGGTGCCTGCCCCCAGGCAGTTTACAATCTACAAGACCATTAAGATATAAAAGCTGGGAGGACAGGGAGACTCAGATACATATCATTTTTATATTCACACTTTTTTAAATTTTTATAATTACATAACTAAGTATCAATTTTCTTTCACTGTCTGTCAGTGTTCTGCCCCAACTGGTCCTCAGTCTAGCCATTAAAAGTTGTCTGATACCTTGCAGCTGTCATGGCAGAATTGAGTCCAGATAATAAATGGCCTTAGGGCCACGTATTGTGTTATACTGTGTTTGTACAGCACCTAGCACAACAGGTGTGACTGAGGCACTATTCCAATATACATTATAAAAAATAATGCAATATTGCCAACCCCAACCATTCAAAAATTATGAGTCAGGTACACACAATCACTCAATTAGCTTAAAAATTATAATTTTTAAACAAATAATATCTGGGGTTCTTTCTGGCTTTTGAGCCCCTAGGGTGCTCGGGACTGACATTTTCATGCTTTTCTCTACAACCATGAGGTGAGGAGCACTAGACACTTGCTTTTACAAATGAAAGCTGATATTCTCATATATTCACATGACCCCATGAGCTGGTGCTAGAAAAAAAAAACCAACCAATAAAGATAAAAATCACAAAAACTGGCAACATGGATAATGATCTGTGACACGGAGCAATGTTTTAGCATAAAGTGTAAATCTGGCCACACGTGGGTGGTTATGCATAAAGAGAGGGAGGCAGCTGGGCCATCTACAACCCCTTTATTTTATTTTGGTATCCAGCACTACCGTATCTCTCCTTTCCTACATCAGAGTCCCAGAGGAACAGATGAGTCAGTGTGTGGTGAGAGAGTGCACATTAATTGCTGTGCATGCTTTTCTATGCTCTTGACCAATTCCAGTTTCCCCCTCCAGCATGATCATAAGTTATATAGTAATTCTGACAATAACTTGAAAAGGATTGGAGAATAAAATCCTGTGAATGTGGCAGGGACCCTGGAAGAAAGCAGTGTGTCTATTGTTTCCGCTTATGCTAATTTTTAAAAATCGTTTCAGACTATATAGGATCACAGAAAGAAAGATGGAGAGGAGCTATTAGGTATTGGCCCATCCCTGCCAGTACAGAAGGATACCCTACAGAATATTCTCAAGTGTTTAGCTCACTCTCACTGACTCAAGTGCTAGTGCCTCCCTTTAGGAGATTATTCCAGAGCAAACATCCTGTTTCTAATCAGAATCTTTTCAATTTTTCTGCCACTTTGGTTTTCTGGATCAAGGCCTAACTAAAATCAATTGAACTTTTAATGTGATTAAAACTAAACATGCCATATTGGGGGCCTTTTCTTCCTGAAACCCGTAAGTCTACTATTTAGAGCCCCAAGTTTCCTGTCAATACATGTAGCAGCCTAGTAGATAGTTACCTGGACTGCTGAAAATCCAAACTCAGGTTATGTTCTGATTTGCACTAATGCAAATCAGGAGTGGCTACAATGAAATCAGTGGAATCACACCAACATAAAACTGGCACAGGAACAGAATCAGGCCCAAAATGTCAAACCTTCAGTAGACTAATCTCCTCAGAAACACAGCTGAAATGTTCAGGGGCTGTCCTTCCAGGAATGATTTTTTAAAAGCTGCCCCCTGTGAGCACTGCCCCAGATATAGAAAAAGTCGGCTTCTAATAATTGGCATGTGGAGTACTCCATGCCTGTTTCTTTAAGGAGATGTAAGGTGGCCCTTTGGGTGCACCCATGCATAGCCAAACTGACTGTCCTAGCTGGATAATATTTCTAGTCACTCTGCTTCCAGCCCAATCTGGATTCTTTTATTTATTTTAATCTATTTTACTCCTCACTTCTGAAAACAAAGCCAGCTCTTTGAATTTTGGATCCACACCCTCGCTTGCTTTCCCTTTCCACTTATGTTTACTTCACTTTTCCTCAACATTTTTAAAATGGCAATTGAGTCCAACATTCAGCCCATCTGCTACGCTTCAGGCATCCAATTCTGAATACCACATTTTTTAAAAAGTAGTTCTACCACTCTAGTTTCAGCGGCACTAATTGGACTGTAGGTTTTTGAGGGGAGCAGGCTCCAGGGATAAATCCTTAAATGTCACCACTGTCTGGAAGGACAGGAAGAGAACAGTGTACATGGTGGGACCCGAGCCTTCCTTCAAACATTTAACTAAGGTGCCCTCCAGAGCAGCTTCTGGCATCTCATTTCTGTCCTGAATTGCTCAGTAAGTCTAAAGATAACCTTGAAAAGAAAAGGTCTGATGTGAAAGACAGCAAACAGCAAACGGCAAAGGAGACTTCTGTCATCTTGTGGGGATCTTTAAATTATACTTGGTTGTTAGTTGGAAACAGAGTGGCAAACTAGCAAGCAGTGAGCTGTCAGATAGATTTGAGATTGGTGTAATCTGGAAAGAGCCTGCTAACCCTTTTCCTTCCTAGTCAAAAATGTCTCTCTCAACTGCCTGTTTTTAAGTGGGACAGAAAATTCATTTGAGTTCCAAATATACTTTCCTGCCATAAAAATGCTAATCCAAATCATGCCCTCCAGTTTGTTCATGCACCACCACTTGAAATCCTGTGGTTCAGGGAATCATGAATTTTAAAAAATTAAATACAATAATTCTGGTTTAATAAAAAGATGTCAATTTCAAAATTCTTTTAAAAAAAATCAAATATTTCCAAAAGGAAGGAACCAAGGAATTAGAACATTTGAGTATTGGAGTGGAACAGTAAATATTATTATTACTGTATTACCAGAGGACTTAGGAGCCTAGTCATAGACCAGGACCCCATTGTGCTAGGCACAGTACAAACACAGAACAAAGATGGTTCCTTCCCCAAGGGCTCACAATTTAAGTATAACACAAGAGATAAGGACACATAAATGAAGGGGTATTTGACGGGGCTCCATTCACTGCACTAGCACCTCCTGCCAACTCTCCTGGGATTAGCTCCACAGGTTGGTATGCCCTCTCCCAGTGGGGCCTCGCCCACC